AGGCTGGGTTATTTTCCTTTCAGGGAAGCAGGCCTTGGCCACGCCCCCTCGTTTGGGCTGCGAGGCGGCTCGTCGCGGTCTGGGGCGGGCGGGCGCGCGTGCGCGTGGCAGCTATCGCGATATTTAGTTCCTGCGCCAGCTCCGTGGCTGTTCTCGCGTGGGGGGGGGAGATCTCGCGATAGGTTACCCCCCACACCTTTTTTCCCCCGCATCCTGCAAGCGACGCGTCGGCCCCGTTTCCTTTCTCTCTTAAGGGGCAGCCGAGGAAGGCCCGGAGGGTCGTGGGTTCGACCTTCGGTCTCCTGCGGGGAAAGGATCTCATCCTAGGAGGCAGGTGAAGGGTAACGATCCTGGAAATGTGTGGGTCGGGGGCCCCCCAAGTGAACGGCGGTTCTCTCTCTCCGTGGGTGGGAGAAACAGAACGTTCTGGAAAGTAGCCCGTTTGGGATAGGCCTTTATGCTTATTTAATCTGATTCGTTTATACCCCGCGTCTTCCTTTCCCCAGTAGGGACCCCAAAACTACTTATACCGTTCTCCTTCCCGCCCCTTTAATCTTCCCACAGGGGTGCCATCCTCCAGGTGGGACCTGGGGAACCCCTGGAATTACAGCTCGTCTCTAGTGTTTCCTCTAGGCTGAGTGAGTGTGAGCCAGCTCACGGTTTTTTTAGCCTCCAGCTCACAGGTTTTTGTCTTAGCTCGGGAAGAAGAAGAAGAAGAGATTGGATTTATACCCCGCCCTTCACTTGGAGTCTCAGAGCGGCTTACAAACTCCTATCCCTTCCCCTCCCCATAACAGACACCCTGTGAGGTGGGTGGGGCTGAGAGAGCTCTGACAGCAACTGCTCTTTTTCAAGGACAGCTGTGCCAGAGCTTGTGACTGACCCAAGGTCACATCAGCAGGTGCAAGTGGAGGAGTGGGGAATCAAACCCGGTTCTCCCAGATTAGAGTCCGTGCACTCAACCACTACACCAAACTGGCTCTCTAGCGAGCTGATTTATGCAGCAGCCAGATCTCTTGCTCAGGAGACTCCACAGCTTAGAGGGAGCATTGCTCCAGACTACAGAGACCAGTTCCTCCTGGAGAAAAATGGCTGCTTGGGAGGGTGGGCTCCAGGGCATTGTACTTTGCTGATGCCAGCCTCCCGGTGGTACCTGGGGATCCCCTGGAATTACAGTTCCTCTCCTGCCTACAGAGATCAGTGCCCCCTGGAGGAAATGGAAGCTTTGGGGGGTGGATTCTGTGGCATTGTGCCCCACTGAGGCTCGTCCTCTCCATCCCCACTGAGGCTCGTCCTCTCC